CATATTTTTTTTCAAAATTTGTATATTCAATGAGGGTACTTGAACTTTCGACAAATAAATCTAATTATAATTATGTTGCGTTTGAATATCCACATCGGATGGATCTGAGATGTTGTAAATCTTTGATCACGTGATTCAATATACCTAACGCTCGAGATATAAAAAAATGCATCGAATGTGAATATTCAAACGTAGCATTAGTAAAGAGCATAGAGCTAAGATATATAAAAAAAAGCATGAGAGAGACTTATACGTATTCAATGTTATGCGATGTTGCAAACATATCGTTTGATTTCAGATTGTTTTGTTTTGACAAGGACTTGGTTCATAAACGTTAAAAATTTCCTGTGGCGTAGTTTTTATTGGGAAAACAAAAAACACTTTCAACCAAACAAATTTTACGCTCATCCCCTTGGAATACTGCAAAAGTTTTGCACTTCTATAATAAAAACCATATGCTAAAAATCTTGATTATCACTAACTAACGCTAGTCATTACAGGAACTGAATTTTTTTAAATCCAACCTTTTTGATAAACTTGTCATTGAAATTTCGCGGTTTCCCACAAATCATTGATGCGTTACTATGGTATAAATTGAATTTTTTAAATCCATCGGGATCGAGATAAATCCGTGTAGGTATAATACTAATGGAGTCTAAGTAGAGTCGTATTTAGTTCTAAACTTCTACATTATTTGTTTACCCAGTTTACCCTTTTGCGTCTGAGTAATAGTCTAGAGAAGAAAGGAGTGCAGTAACTTAATTTGCAGAAGGTAGTGCAGGTCCAAGAGGTAGACATTTTATTTATAACTCATCCTTCAATGCTTATTTGTAGTTAATGAAAATTTTAATACATTTGATCGGCCTAATAAAAGTTTTCGTTTAGATTTAATCATGTTTCCATGGTTTTTACTGTAATAAACATGGAGGTAGGATATTGAGAAAGATTCATAAACATGTATTGAGTTTATTTATTTGTTTATCGAAATTAGATCACTCAAACTCATTTTCAATTATATTTAAACACGATAATTCAATTAAACTCATTTTATTGTCAGAATACAACCGGCGATTGCCGCTTCTGGCCAATTAATTTCTTTACTCAGCATGTCTGGACTAGAGGTCGAGAACTACTAATAGTGCTATTGATAGTTATCGATAGTACTATCGAATACTATCAATATTTTTCATGAACTATCGATAGTATTAGATAGATAGTACAAAATTATGCTGCGTTTGTATATCCACATCCGATGCATTTTTTACATCTCCAGCGTTTGTTTATCCACATCGAACACATCTACTACATACATCTGCATCTGCCTTTGTTTATCCGAGATGTAGCTGTCCAGATTATATTTTTTATTATCGATTTAGGTTGATTTCTAGTCTCAAAAGTCAAACGCAAATAGTAGTTTGTGTAACAAGAGTGGATATGGACAATCCATTCGAGTTGTACAGTATATTTTTTCTACGACCCACAAACAAAGTAAACTCAAATGAATTACTGCTACTCATACCATTTAATGTTCCTCCTAGGCGCACTAGGTCTCCCTTTATATTCAATATATCCAATAGTACCCTAAAATCTCCTCTTTCATTTGTACTTCGACTCGCAAATAATTTTAATTCTTTGTGTAACTTTGACTGGCATGTGAGTTACAAACAGTATCAAAGAAATCTTAATGAGTACCTTAATGTTTTAAGTATTTAAATATGTGAGCTGTTTCCGCTGATTGTTGTGAAGCTTTGTAGTCTTGATATTCAAACCCATTCATACAAGTAAAAATGTAAAGTGTCATAATGTCATATGTATGATTATATTATATATTATTATGTATATTATGTATTGTACTACTCATGTAAAAAGGCCGTAAGGCCTGTTTGAGTTTTATTAATAAATAAAAATAAATAAAGAATGACGATATTTAAAAAATGTAGTGTTACCAGCTCTAACTCCTTTAGTTTCGTTGCATCTGAAAATATACAGGGTGACCCTCGTACAATAGTAAAAGAGCGTAGCAACGTCGCCCCTAAAAAGTATTTTAGGTCGGCTGGTCTTTTGATATTTAAACCGCTCCTGCAAAATTTTTGTAATTTAACAAACTAATCTTTTATCCTTAAAAAAATATATATTCTAGTATTTGAGGTAGGTACTACACGACTACTTACCTCCCAAAAACACGTTAATTTAATTTGGCAATGGAAAAATGATAAGAGTATACTTTTTACGAAGAATGAAGTGTTACTTCATTTCTTTAAGTGACAGTTTAAATCTACGAAGCGGGTACCTATATAATATTTCCATCAAAGCAAAATATAACAAGCGCATCTTGAAAAAAATTTTACTAAAAGAAATAATTTTAATTTTTTATTATTTATTCGGTTTTAATGAATTAATTACACACTTTTTATAGAACTGGATAAGTCATCTGAAGTAAAATACCGCAAACACTGTAATTTCTGTGTAATCTAAGGTAGCCACTTTCTCCCCAACTGGTGCCCCATGAGTTCTTAATTAGCCAATAATCAATTCCTTCTTCGGTACCATAACCAATGACGACCACGCCATGATTCACATAAATCCCACTGCAAGCTTCAGCATCATCATAAATACCTCCTGCGTACAATTTAAGAGTATCTGCCAGAATAGTCACACTGATTGGTCCAATTGTACCTAAAAATAAAAACGAAGCTACTAGAAAGATGCATTGCTGTTTAACCATTCGATCATGTTCAACCAAAACAAATAATATTGGATGAATCTATCAAAAGGTTTAGCTAATTTTATGTATCAATAGTAGGGTGCTTCATTTTCAGGCAATATTTTTTTTTCTCTGTGCTACCTGAAAATCTAAAACTTTATAAAAAATTAAAAATTTTGCCGCCGGGTAAAAGGTACTAAATGCAATAGCGACTTAGCTCATTTAAAAGTTCGATTTTCCATTTAAATAACATAGGAAATTTTTTTTTGATTCAATTTGATTTTTCGATATAAAAAAAAAAATTAGGAAAAACCCGTGTATAGCTTTTGTAGGGCATAAAATCCGCTACAATAAGATTTTTGAGTGAATCCCCTCCGACCAACAGTTTTTGAGTTATAGAACTAGAAAGATGAATATCAACTATATTTCACATCAAATCTTCTTTAAACTAAAATTTATTATTTTTACATCTAATAATAACTGATTATAAACATTAGAACGCTACAATTCTAATTTTTAAATTTTTTAGTTTCATTTCTAACCACAGTAGCACTACTCTTGACTTCGTCTATACTTCCATTAATGTAAACTGATATTTTTGCTCTTCAATTGTATTGACTAGCATTGATTTTTTATAATTGTGCTTTAACCTCATTGTTTATTTTTCTATTTCTGTCATAAATGTCAGACTCAGTGATTAGACTCATATTTAGCTGAAATGGCTAATAAAAACTCCTGTAAAAACATTTATTTACTTGATTATGAACGTAAATTTTTATCCCAACGTAATCTACCAAATAATCGGGAAATATTAAGTTTATTGATGTAAAATTATAAATCTCTCGGTAAGCCACTGAATCTAAGTTTAAAAATTTTGTAAAACGAAAATCCCTTTGACGCCAGTTCGAAACAGTGTTGCAAAATTAAGAAGTTTATATAAAGAAGATTTGATGTGAAATATAATTAATATTCATCTTTCTAGCTCTATAACTCAAAAACTGTAGGTTGGAGGGGATTCACTCATAGAAACTTTTTGTAGCGAATTTTATGCCCTACAAAAGCTATTAACGGGTTATTCCTAAAAAAAAATTTTTAATGTCGAAAAATTAAATTAAAACAAAAAAAATTTCTATGTTATTTAAATAGGAAATCGAATTTTTGAATGACCTAAGTCGCTATTGCATTTAAAACCTTTTAGCTGGCGGCATAATTTTTTATTTTTTATAAAGTTTCAGATTTTCAGGTAGCACAGAGAAAAAAAAAATATTGCCTGAAAATGAAGCACCCTAATCAGTAGTCTAGTTTTTCAGTTTACTTTTTTATTTATAGAGTTAGTTAATTAAAAGATCCTTCTGATGATGACTAATTAACTAAAACAGTGATGAACAAACTCCAGAAATGAAGCATCAATCGAACACGGGAATCAATTTAAATATTTTACCCTATTTGAGTTATGCCCTTATTACATCTGTAGACGTAGAACGAGGCTTTTTGATGTATAAACATATGTATACGGATAAAAGACAAAACTTTCTTGTCGAAAATTTTGAAAAATGTCTAGTTGTCAATGCTTTCAACAATTTCAATAAATAGAATATGTATTTGTTAATATATTATGTAATTTATGTAATTTCACGGCCTATAACGAAATGGGTAGAGTAAAACCAAAGAGGTTAGAAAGGGTAGAGGTAACATAGGAAGCATTTGTCACTGCGCGAATTTTGCCAAAACCGTAAAACTGGGTGGAAGGAGTAGGGAGATGTTCTGGGCCGGACTTAAATATTTGTATTGTAGTACCTAATTTTGGTAGGTAACTAAAAGATGAAAAATTATAACACGTTTTTTTGACTTTATTTGTCAGCACGATTCATTTATGATGAGGGCAATAACACTTTATCAATATATAACTAGCTAAGGGGCGATTCCACCGTTGTGTCAAACGAAGTTTAAATTACTAAGTGAAGATTAAAATGATATTGTTAATGTAAAAATGTCATTTTAAACTCCATTTAGTAATTTAAACTTTATTTTTGTTAATATAAAAATGTAATTTTAATCTTCGTTTAATATTTTAAACTTCGTTTAACAAAACGGTGAAATCGACCCTAAGTAGAAGTTTATAAAATTATTGTAACAAAATAGCTGTTGAGACAAAAAGTTATCGAAACAGCCAAAGTACTTTTTGCCGAATTACACACAAGATTTTTTCTACGATCACACCAAAATAAAATAAATAATTAAATTTTATTAGAAATGGGTTACCTTTTCGTTCGTTATATTTTAAGTTTATTTGACATAAGCCTATTCTTCGAAGAAAAAAAAAATGTTTTGGTACTTATATACCGGTAATTATTTATGATTTAATTATTTACGGAAAATACCGTTCAATGATTTAAAATATTAGGAAGTCAATTAATAGCTATTTATGTAACCAGTTACGAAATGCCTTATTTTGTGTAACGAGTAAATATTTGCGGGACGAGCGGAGCGAGGTCCTGCAAAATGAACGAGTTACACAAAACGGCATTTGGTAACGTGTTTACATACAAGATTTTTTCTAATTTTGTCTTGATTATTTATAAAATTGTGTTGAAAAATAATTCACCAGCATTCTTTTGTAGGTACTTCCAATCAAATATTTCAGAAAATTGTTGTATTTGATTGCCCTACGACGTTTTTTTTTTCAATAATAATAAAAATAAGGAACATGTGCAGTGTTGTCGATCTGATTTTTGACATTACCCGCGAGAAATTTAAAAAAAAAACATTTTTACCCATTATCCTTAAAGGAGTACGTCAAAATTTTACCCCCAACATTTCTGGGCAGTTTTCAATAACGGTGTTCAATTATTTAAAAAATAAAACGCAATTTAAAGCTTTTCTTTTTTGTTTTCTTTTTTGTTGTTAAACGTAATGTCATATTTTCAAATGTGAAATGTCACTATTCTCGGTCTTTTTTTCAATATTTGGTTTTTTAGATTTTTTGTTTTTTGGATTTTTCGATTTTTTATTTTTCGATTTTTAAATTTTTCGATAACTCGATTTCTCGATTTTTCGTCTTAAAAACCAAAAAAGAGGCAGTTTTATTTATTTTCATTTCGTAACTGGTGACGTAATCAACTTTTCGTAATCAGTTGCATAATGTTCTACTTTATAAAATATATTACTTTATATGTCAAAATTAGAGAAAATAAAATGTAATTAAATGGATAGATCCCATATTATTATAGAGCAGTGTTTCTCAAACTTTTTTGGGGACGAAACCTTTTTGAAAATCGAAATATTTGACGGGGCCCTCAACAAATTAAACACATAATTTAAAAAATATTTTTCAAATTTTTTTCTTCAATTTGACTCTCATTTTGACTTTCAAGGTAAACGTGATAAAAAATCGGCTTCATATTATGCTCCGATTTTACATATTCAATTTTATAATTGTAATTTGACAATATTACTGCCCATCTACGTAGTCTGTTGGCTGAAAATTGGGGTATACCTTTAGCTGGGTTAAAAATAGTTACCAGAGGTAAGTAATCTGTAACTAGGATAAATAAATGTCTATATGAATATTCATTAAATTTATTTAAGCCAAAAATTATTGCAAGGCCTTCTCTTTCAATTTGGGAATATTTTTGTTCGGACTTTGATAAGGTACGCGATGCAGAAGCTATAGATTTCTCAATATTTTTTTAAAAAACATGACATATGGCCCTTATTCCCACATTTGATGCATCTACGATTAATTTAATTGGCAACTCAGGCTGAAAATGCATAAGAACATAATTTGTTGTTAATTTATTTTTGATTAATTCCAAAGATTCCTTGCAAGAATTATCCCAAATCCATTTCACCCATAAAAATAAAATAAAAGTCCTAAAGCAAAATCATATCCTCCTTCCTCTTAGTCACTTAAAAAAATTACTTCTCAAAAAAAAGGTCCTCAAGCCAGGTCCCTCCATTTTGTGGCGATAGTACTGTTTTTTTTTTATTATGATTATTTTCTTCGCGGAGTCCTCACAAAGGCTTTGCGGAGCCCCAAGGCTCCACGGAGCACACTTTGAGTAACCTTGTTATAGAGAAATACTAAATAAATAGTTTTGAAAAAACTATTGAAACCGGTTGTGAAGTTTGAAACGAATAAATTAGCAATGAAATTGATATTTTTGTATTTGATTGTATGTTTCTCTTTCCACTTCCTGAAAACAGAATCACCATGAAACAAGAAATAGTAAACAGTTTATAAAAATAACCTTTATTTGCTACTTATAACATGTACCAATGACCAAGTCCGATTCTGTTTATTTTCAAATCAACAAATATGGACGTCAACAGAATCTTTAAAAATTAATTATCTCACCGAAATAAATATAAGTTTTTTTTTATCTCCGTCACATTTCGCACTTTTATTATAAATAAAGCTTTCTACAACACATCTTGGTATTTTAAACGTTAATTTCCAAAATTTAAGTCAGTAAAATTCCAAATTAATTCTCGTTGACACATTAAATTTGGATGGACAACGCTCTGACATGTGATGTTCTCAACTGTGATTGGTGGGTGTGAATAATTTCGAAATGGGATTATGCGCAGTGTATTATGTTCCATCTAAGGTTTGTATAATCTAAGAATCAGCTGATCGAAATATTCATATACAGGGTGTCCCGAAATTAGACGGTCATATTTTAACAGCGTAATCTACATCCTAAAATAGAAGTAAAAGTTTATATAAACATAGGTCCGAAAAAATTTCTTTTCCGAGATACAGGGTGTTAAAAGTGAAGTCCTGATGACACACTTTTGTGAATATTTTCTAAACGTTTAAAGATAACTAAGTGAAATTTGGTACAAATGCTTAACTTTTTACGTTCTATTTAATGGACTAAATCTCAGGTTTTGATCATCTTCATAGGTGGGTAAATTAGGGGGAGCTTAGGGTAAAATTGTCCTAAGTTTTTTTTGTTGACAGTTTTTAACATTTTTGACTATAAAATTTGGAAAACCAATGTTTTCTTTAAAATAAAGCTACTGTTGTTACATCTCGCTAGGACACATCATTTTCAAGTAAAAAGCATTTGAAAATTTTATGATAAGTTATTCGAAAGTGTAAACAATAATTAGTATGCCTGTGAAATCAAAAATTTAAGTTTTTTTACTTTGGAAAACCGGTGACTAAAGGAAATTTTAGAAAATATTTACAAAAATGTGCCATCATGACTTTACTTGTAACAACCTGTATCTCGAAAACGAAACGTTTTCGGACCTATGTTTATATAAACTTTTACTCCTATTTTAGTATGTAGATTACGCTGTTAAAATATGACCGTCTAATTTCGGGACACCCTGTATATCCATTTTTCGCCATATCTCTGATTTTTTTTTGTAATATGGTATAAAATTATTTATTAATTTGTTTTTGTGTTAATAGTGTGACTATATTTTGCTGGGCACAACAAAAAAGAACTGCTCTTTTAAATATCGGGCTGTGCAGTGGTTTACTTGTAAAGTAAAGACCATAATATGAAAACTAAAAATAGTGTTGTAAGATATTTTTAATTTTCACAAAATGTTAAAGAAAATTATAGGGAGAAAAACAACTTTTTATCGAATGGTTTTTGATGAAATTGTCAATATTTTGGACAACTTTGAAGCATATCAGAAAATAAACTTAGAACCTCAAGGTACATGCCATTTTGTTAAGCCTGTACCAATATTTAGAAGAAAAAATGTTATCTGATGAAATTATCAATCTTATGGACAACTTTGAGGTATATCAAAAAATAAACTTAGAAACATTAAGGTATATTGGAGAATTTGTAGCTTTTAAATTTAAAATAAATATAGAAAATTACAAATACCCAAAAAGCAACTAAATGTTTCAGAGATTCCTTAATCCTATGTATAAGTAGGACATGAATATAACAAAAATAACAGATATAAACAGAAAATTGGTTTTCAAATTTTTGTTAAGAAAACTTAAAGGTATTTCATGGAAGCTGTCGTGGCGTAAAATTCATTCGTATACCATGATGTTGGTAGAGTGCAAATCAGAACTTAGAAAGTAGCGCCATCTACACTTACTAAGCAAAATCAAAGCTCGCTGTAGTATCAAGTTCAAGAATTATTATGTGAAATTAATAAATATTCTATTTCCTTTGACATTATTTATAGTATATCTCCTCGACAAAATAACCCAAACATTTTGAATAATTTGCATTATTACAGCATAGTAGTGTGGCCTAGATATACTTACCAACAGCTGCTTTAAGATCTTCTTCGTTTTCTTGAATTCTTCTGTAACCACTGATTTGCGTTGCAACATCATCAGCTGAATATTTACATTCAGTTTTTTCAGTTGAATAGGGATATGAACTTTCAGATTGAATACCGAAATTGGCAATGTATGTATATGCAAGAAATTGATTTCCACCGTTGCAGCCACCATTTCCGTAACTATTAGAACAATCCACTAGTTGTTTTGGACTGAGTACAATGGAAACATTATTTTTTATAGCGTTTTGACCTTCAATAGTAGCAACCTGAAAAGTTTATAAATTTATTATTATTCAATTTTATTTCTTTTTTTGTCCCTGTCATTAGTGGAGCAAAAGAAATCATTTAGAAAAAATAAACTACAGAATCAAAAGTCTAAGTAGACTATGTAAAAAAAATGTCGGAAGATAAGTAATAGTCCGAACTTGATTAGTTTTTGTATCTATTTAATTTTTTACTTAATAAACCTAGATGTTCTTGACTGAGGAGCCTTTTGGTTATATCGTCTTTAGTTTGTAACTATTATTTTAAAAGAGAAAGATTCTGTTTTCGTTGACAACCTCTTTTATTGTTCCATCAAAAACAATCTGACATAATACAGGACGAAACAAAATCAACTTAAGACTAATAAATATTATAAATAAGTGTACAAAATGAACTTAGGTAACACTAGAATAGATCATGAATATCTATCAAGGATGTACAGTTAATGCATTTCTCCTCCATAACTATAAATAATATATATTTAATACATACCGAACTAAATGCCCAACAGGATCCACAATCTCCTTGATCTCTGATAGGTAAAACTGCTCCTTTTTCTAACCAATTGATAGAATCTGGAACCTTTAAATCTTTTGAAAATTCTTGGACATTTGCCATAATTTTGGGCTTATTAGAAACTTGAAGTTGAAGCATATCACTGAACTCTTCATCGGTCATATCTGCAAATTGGTTGACTCCCAAATAATATCTAACTTCTCCGTCTTCATATCTGACATTATGTTCTTCGATTTTCTTCAAATTATCTTTAAAAATTTGAAAACGAAGTTTTTCTTCCACAATATTATAGGTTTTATTATGTTTTAGCTGCAAAATATTAAAATGAAAGTGATTTTTCACATTCGTAATGTAATGTACTATTATACTTCACTTACCTTAAATGACTGCCAGTGTTCATGTTCTTGAAAACCACAAACGGACAGAACTATTGCAGTAAATAAAATAAGAACTCTCATTTTATTATTGGGTAAAATTTCTATTTGATTTTCACAAATCAATTTAGAATAAATATCAACTGTATTATAAGTAATATTTTATCGATACTTCTGATTCTAGCTGATAATTATTATGTTGATTTTTAATAAAATTAAAAGATTAAAAATATATTTTTTTTTTCAAGTGGTTTAAAGACAAATTAATTATCTAGTTTTTAAAATCCGATATTTCTTGTTTATTAATAAAAATAAAGATAGGTTCCATTATAATTCAATGATGTAGGTACAAAGGCAACATTTTTTGTAGAGGGTTTTTATTACAATAAAATAAAAAAGCTTCAATTTATAAGCTTCAACAACTCTAACTAATAAGAAACTTTTTATTTATTTAATTGGATTATACAGGAATGCAACACAGCTTATGATTTTAAAGAATAGTACGATGAAGTATAAAAATATTAATACATCAGTATTGCACTAATGAGCATTGTTGTACGTAATATTAAGTTTTTAAAATAAAAAAAGCAAATATTGTGTATCCAAAAATTTAACCAAACAACACATATAGAGACAAGCTATAAAAGTAATTTTAAAAAACTGACTCCAAAAATGAAGAATGATAGATCTCATCATCAAATCTTGACCAAATATATGGCACCAACTCTGAGATACGTACCCCATTTCTAACAAATCAAGGAAATAGGACAACGTAGTAAAAGAATTATCGCTGAACATACGTAAAAAGAAATTAAAAATTCTAATAATGAATTGACCACAAATAATAAAGAAACTGCAAATGAATTTAATAATTTTTTTATTAATGTTGGTGAGAGATACGTTAATGAAATCGAGCACCAGTCACAGAACCTTTTTTTTTTTTGTTAGAGTATTGTTACTTGTCATTTCTGACTAACCTACAATTTTAATCTAAAAATCTTACAAACTAATTACTTATCTAAGAAGTCCCCATTGGGCTGTCTTAATTGTTTCTATAGGAAAGCATCACAAGTTGGCGTGACGATTTATTACACTGTTTTACACTAGCACTAACATTAACGTTCACTGCACTAGCTCAAATGGCTTCTTCCTTTTGAGCCTTCTGTTGAGTGTAGAGTTATCCAGTAATTGCAACGCTTCTTCGTTGACGTGGGAGTGAAGTCGACCCTCATGTTTCGCGACAAACCTCTTTATTTCTTTTTCGATTGTTCGCATCTTCAGGTCACTATGAAGATAATCATTTCGGTAGAACCAAGGTGCATCAACAATGCATCTTACGACTTTATTTTGGAAAACTTGTATCATGTTAATATTACTCTTGCTGGCACATCCCCATAGCTGTATGCCATAAATCCAGATTGGTTTTAGGATTTGTTTATAAATCAGCAGTTGTGCACTGACAATTTGGTTTTTCTTCCTAGGAGCCAATACATTTTTTTGAATTTAAAATCAAGTTCTTTACGCTTTTTACGCTTTTTATGTGCTCTTTCCATTTAAGTCTTACATCTATGTTCATCTCTAGATATTTGGCCGAATCGTGATGCGGAATAACGTCATTGTTTATTCTTATTTGTTTTTGGTCGAAGAGTAAAATCAACATGCACTGATTTAGTTTGATTTATTTTCCACTTTTTTGTCCATCGATTGATACTGTTGCAGGTTTCCTGAAGTTTTCCTGAGGTATCTGTATTAGTTCCGCCAACTGCCAATATTGCTATTTTAACAGATTGTTGTTGAGGGATATCGCTGGTGTATAATAAGTAAAGAACCGGTCCTAGCACACTGCCTTGTGGGACACCTGCTTTAATTTCTTTCATTTCGGAGTATGCCTTGTCTTGCTTTACTCTAAACATTCTTCCCGTTAAATATGATTGTAGAATGTCGACATATTGTCTAGGGAGCATTTTTTCAAGTTTCTGTATTAGGCCAGCGTACCAAACCTTGTCAAATGCTTGGGCTACGTCAAGAAATATAGCTGAGCATATATATTTTTCTTCGTAAGCTTTTTCGATGATATCGGCTATCCTGTGTACTTGATCTATTTTCGAGTGTTTGTTTCTAAAACCAAATTGGTGCGAAGGGATCAGATTTTAATTTTCAATTATTGGTTTTAGTCACATACTTTGATTTTCTTTTACTATACGGAGAATGGTCGCACTGCGCAGCTTTCTGAGTGCCTTTTAAAAGGAGATAGAAAACTCCGCCATTTTGATCCCTTATTACGTGTTGCCTACATCTTGGCGCAATATTTTTAATAGGTGCGTTTTAATCATCCGCTTCTGCTTCGGAATTGTCGGTTTTCTTGTTTTAATCTGACAGGTTAAAACGACTAAACCGACAATTCCGGAAGCAGAAGCGGATGATTAAAACGCACCTAATATTTTGCTTGCTGCTGTCAGTGTCAGTGAATATTTCGAAGTCACAGTTTATTGCTAAAGAATCAGTTAGCTCACTCGGACCAGTTGAAAGTTCCAAAATAACATCCACTCCAGGGATACAAATTCAGGATACGTATTATCCGAGTTGCACAGTGTATAAACTGAAACATTGAGATCCAAAGTGCCGACGCAGAGTGAGCGATCTGATTCTTTAGCTGTAAACTGTGTCACAGGGTTCAAAATAGCCGCGCCCTATAGGCGAGTTCGGTCAGTCAGGGGCTGGAGCGGGACAAATTTTAGGGTGCTTTTAAATGACATTTAAGCGTATTAAACTGTCACTAATCGGACTAAACCGAACGCTAAAAGAGTCGTTTGGAGTTAAAAGTGTTAAAGGAGTTAAAGGAACGTGGCAAACCGAACGCAATGTATGTTGGGCGTGTCGGACCTCTCTCTTGCCTCGTATAATAATCAAAGTATGTGGTTTTAGTCGTTTTAGTAGTAATTTTTCAAGTAACTTAGATATTATCGGTAACAATGATATAGGTCTTTATTCAAAGGTTTTCCTGGCTCAGGAATTAGGATAACTTCAGCCATTTTCCACGCATCAGGTATATATTTAAGGCGAAATGCTGCATTTATGAGGTATGTCAATTCAACAATAGCCTTCCGTGGTAGTAATAAGGTCATATCCTGGGGATTTCTGTGAGTTGATGTTTGTCTGAATTTCTTTCGTAACTTCATTGGGAGTAACTAGCTTAATTTCAAGTTGTTCCATATTATAGATGGTCTCATTAGGAATGTCTTGATTTTCATCTAATTGGAACGTCTTTTGTAGATGGTCAGCGAAAATATCTGCTTTTTGTTGAATGTCTCTTGCCCATTTGTTATTAGCCCAATCGGATTAGTATTTTAGATTCTGAAAAATTCGAAGCAGCAATTTTCCTTCGGAATTCGTTGGAGGGGGTCTCTGGTAGTCTAAATTCAAAAAGTTGGGATTCCAAATTTGTTGTTACCTCCGCCATCTTGATTTAAAGGGTTTTTTTGTATCTTGAATAACTCATTTATTTTCAATTTTACACGGAAAATAGTTTTTACAAAAGTTATTTAAAATTAAATTTCCTACAATTCTGCTTTTTTTTGTACGATCGATTTTTTTCGATTTATACCCGAAAAGAGGGGGTGAATTTTTGGTTATAGAATAACTCGTTTATTTTCAATTTTACGAGAAAAATTGTTATAAACAAAGTTGTTTAAAATTAAATTTCCTACAATTCTGTTGTTTTTTTTGTACGATCGATTTTTTGTATTTATCCCTGAGAAGAGTGGGTGTGAACCTAAGTATTGTATTGTCACGTTTATTATTGATGTTGTACCATTATTTTTTCTGTTTGTTTTTTTTTGCTGATACCTGGAATTAAAAAGAAACGTGATAATACAATGATAAAAGTTTACCCCCACTCTTCTCAGGGATATATACAAGAAAATCGAGCGTACAAAAAAAACAGAATTGTAGGAAATTTAATTTTAAACAACTTTGTTCATAACAATTTTTCTCGTAAAATTGAAAATAAACGAGTTATTCTATAACCAAAAATTCACCCCCTCTTTTCGGGTATAAATCGAAAAAAATCGATCGTACAAAAAAAAAGCAGAATTGTAGGAAATTTAATTTTAAATAACCTTGTTTATAACAATTTTTCTCGTAAAATTAAAAATAAACGAGTTATTCTATAACCAAAAATTCACCGCCTCTTTTCGGGTATAAATCGAAAAAAATCGATCGTACAAAAAAAAGCAGAATTGTAGGAAATTTAATTTTAAATAACTTTTGTAAAAACTATTTTCCGTGTAAAATTGAAAATAAATGAGTTATTCAAGATACAAAAAATAACCCTTTAAATCAAGCTGGCGGAGGTAACGGCAACTTTGGAATCCCAACTTTTTGAATTTAGACTACCACAGACCCCCTCCAACGAATTCCGAAGGAAAATTGCTGCTTCGAATTTTTCAGAATCTCAAGCCTGTTCTTCACCTAATCCGATTGGGCTATATCTGCTATTCTGATAGGAGCAGAGTGTTTACACGAATTTTTCATCTTTTTAGTTGCCTTCCAGAGTGAATAATCAGTTTCTTTATCATCTGTTAGCCCTACTAGGTATCGGTTGAAGGATTCTTTTTTGTGATTTAGGACTGCTTTTCTCAGTCTTTGGGTAGCCCTATTTAATATATTTTTATCTTCTGGTGATCTTGTCATCTGCCATTTTTTCTTTAGATATTCCCTTTTTAGCATATTATTTTGAATAAAAGGCTCATAAATCATAAGAATTTTCTTCTCGGGTGGGACATGGACCATATGACCCCCCACCCTGAAGCCGCCCTAGACCTGTTATTGCTTCTCCTCTAATTCATTTAATTAATTCACAACTTCTTGTATCCCTCAAGTATTCAAAACTGCAATAATAACATTAAACTAGAAAAAAGACACAGTTTTTTATGCTTTATTCCATTCTGTTTAATAATGTTTTCAAAAATATGTCCAGTATACTCTCCACCATTATCTGAACACAACGCTTTAATCCTATTCCCTGTCTGATTTTCTACTAGTGCTTTAAACTCTAAGAATACTGTAGGTAATTTTGTTTTTGACAAAATATACAAATACTGTTCTGCTATAATCGTCGATCAGTAAAAAAATATAATTGATCCTCCAAATGAAATTGCTTCTATCAGACCACAAATATCAGTGTGGACAAGCTGTAATGTTCTATTGGATTCTCTCATACTTGATTTGAAAGGTTTTCTGACCTAATTTGCCTTAATATAAATTTCCCATAGCTCATCATTTCTTTTAATTTTCTCCATACCTGTTAACCAATCCCTTAGAAAATTTAAGGATTTCCTGTTCGAATGACCTAGTCGACGTAGGCATTCCAACGACCTGTCAAACAATAGCTGTCAATGGGAAGGTCTCGTATATCTACGGGGGGTAGCGACATAGTCTTGCATCTTGGACGCTATTTTTATTCGAAATAGTAATCGCCAAGCCTGCCAATTTATGAAAAAATGTATAAGCGGCTTTTTAAAATAATATTTTTATTGTGTTCGACATAAAATATTTAAATGTAATCCATTATTCATGATTTCACGTATATGTCACATGATATGTCGCAACCCTTATTTCATATATCATGTCAATATTGACGTGAGATATATTCTCTGCAAGATCCAATGTATGCAGTGATCATCCTATTAATAATACTACTGCAATATTTATTGTTTATACTTCTTATTCGTTGATGCAGAGTTTTATTCTTTAACAGTAAACTTGGGGTAAGTCACACTTTTTCTAATAATATCTAAGCCCTATCAAATATCATAAATATTACAAGTATTAGAAATTAAAAACTTAAAAAAACTGACTTCAAAATGGTGCAGACGCCTTCACCACATCTTAACCAAATTTATATGGGACCACCCCTGAGGTACCCCCTTACTAACAAAAAAGAATCATATAAATCGGACAAGGTAGTAAAGCATTATCGCTAAACATAACATAAAAAATGAAGAGTTTGAGGTTTTTCTCATGAATCCAATTATTAGATTTTGACCAAATTTATATGGGACCACCCCTGAAGTATCCCTTTTCTAACAAAAAAAGAATCATTCAAATCGGACATAGTATTATCGCTGAACATACATAAAAAAAATACGACGGACCTCCCCCTTTTTTGAAGTCTGTCAAAAAAAGATTTTATTTATTCCTTGGAATATTAGTCAGTAAGGACAAAGTATATTAACCGTTGAGTAGCGACATAAAACGTCGGTGCGTTTGATCTTGGGTGGCGCTAATTTTCTTTCTCTCTCTTTTGACGTTATTGACGGAACGACACAGTAAAACACTGCTCGAATTATGAACTCGTCTTGAATGTGATGTTTACACTGCTCGACGTAATTTGAAGTAAAAAACTCTTTTGTAGTTTACATTTAAAATAAAGGTTTGGTCATTAGGCAGTTTTATATTTATAAGTATTATAAGTATCACTACTATTGATAAATTTCAAGTATTCGGATGAGCTAGAGACTTGAAAGTTGGTAGGTGCACAGGGTTTTGATTTTTGATAACAATAGAAATTATTACTTATGGACTTTCTTATTTATTAATCGAGTTGTTTCAAATTTTAAATTTCGTGTTGTTTAAACATGTCGCTTAATACAATTTTTGACTAATAATGCGCCCCGTTACAAAAACTTTTTTTTTTGTGTGTCATCGGCTTCAACTGCTAAGGTTATTTCGCCTCGTGTTCTGTGTAGGCTTTGTTACTGTTTCCCAGCGCCACTTTAGGAACAGCACTGTTAATTAGAACCCAACAGTGAATAATTCACGTTTAAAGTGTTTGACAGAGGTATCTGATTTGACAAGTTATTCATACAAGATGGAAGTCAGTGTCAAATCTGATGACAGGTATAAAACGAACCCTTTTCTAAACAAGAAACCTCGAAAAAACCCATTTATAATAATTGTTATACCTGGTACATATGCTGTATATCCTGTAGATTTTATAGGAAATATACGAAATAGGCCTTATCACATCAAATTTTCACAAATAAGTTCCAATAAAAATAAGATTATTATTTGATAAATATCAAATATAGTGTATAGTTCAAGGTACTTACCTCTCATATTCTTCTGGAAATAAAAACAGTGATTTGTTATCACCAGACCTTGTCGAGCAAGTCGATAAGCACCTGCATTTTCTGGCATAATGAAAAACCCACAAAATCCCAAAAAATCTTAACAAAAACAGAATAAAAGAGCACTAATAAATCCACAACAACGAATTCCTATATCAGCCGCCGGACTAAAGTGAAAGGGGTTGTTTACATCTTTAGATGACGTCTCGCCTCTCTATTTCGCATCGGCGCACTAGAATTCGGTTCCCAGCTGTCGCTACTCAACGGTTAATATACTTTGGTAAGGAGGAATCCTAAACGACCTTGGAATCGCAATGGTATTTAATTTTGACAGTGAACTAGACGAATATGGCGACAAGTGTTTCCGGTCTACCAGTGACGTACTGTCATAAAGGGGCGTAGAAAAGAAAATAATAAATTCTCATTTGCATATTATCTAAATTTACCGATTTCTCTCATTTTAACGAATTGCTATTTTCTTGCGAGAAGTTTGCATTTTTTTTTTTATTAACCTTCATTGTGTGAATAAATTTTACTTTAAAATTGCATGTTGGGTGGAATAAATATTTTTGGGATAATTTATAGAGGGATTTCATTTGAAAAATCAAAGCAATAATGTATAAAAAAAAAAATATTGACTTTTTTACGTCTTTATTATGACAATATCTTTATTAATCTACATTTTACAAATTATTAAAGTTTGAAAAATAAATATATTTTGTAGATATGCATTAAAAAAATTTAATATCCTATACTTATATTTAGGTCAAACACCGCTGTGATATTTCTTTCTTAGATGTTTTTGTTGGAGTACATATAAAACTTCCTAATATCGAAGAGAATTTCTGATCATTTTATTACATAATATTATTAGTAATATTTTTTGCAGGACAATTTTGCATAAGCAGGTAAAACACCTTTTCAAGAAAGGATCCTATAACGTAATAATGATTGTATTAGTGCAAAATATATTATTTTTAAATGTACATTCAACGCATTATTTGTATGTTTAGTCCAGTTATGATGAGAGTCAATTTGTACTCTAAGGTATTTGATATCATTAAGTTTTATCAAAGGTTCGTAAGTTTTTATAATTAAACCATTCGAAAATTTTTATAATATCTGTTTCTATTAATAATTTTAATCAATTCCAGTTTTTTGCATTTTACAGAATAACTGTGTCGTCTGAAAAACTTACAATATTTCCATCTGTATTTAAACGACAAATTATTTAAAATAAAATTAAACAAGATAGGACCTAAGACAGTATCTTGAGGAATGCCATATGCTACTTATTTCCTTACTTGAGATATTAGTAATTATATGTGTGTTCGTTTTTGTAAATAACTTTGTAATAAGTTATATAGGGTGCATCAAATTCATACAATAAACTTTCATTATACGAAAAAAAACGGCACATAATATAGTTAGTAAAGAATTTATTTACTTATATACTCAACCGGACCACTTTTATTGTTGGAACAGCTATTGGTAGAAATCTCGAATTTCAAATTCATTAGGGACAACCTACAAAATAAAACAATTATTCATACAAAATTGTACTAGGGCCAAGAAATTATCCTTGTTCAAATAAATTATATAATAAAATTGTCATACTTGTGAAATACCTTCTAGTGCAATGTACCATAATTTTTCTTGGTTAGCAACTACAATCTAAGGTCTGTTTAAAGTTAGGTAGTTTATATCATTGCCATAAGAGCCCATTTCTTGATGGAACTCAGTCATCGCTTAATTTTGATGGTTTTTCTATAAAAGAGTACGGATTAAATTGTATCCATTTACGACGTTTTCTGTTTTAGAGTTGGGTATAAAACACATGACTATTTTGTAGAAATTGGAACAAAATAAAATATAAACATAACCTCAAAAGTAATAGTAAATGTTTTACCTGGAGCTTGGAGACGTGGTTCGTTAACAATCTTTGCCACACATACTTCTAATTTATTAAATACTTAGTTTTATTTATAATAATAGTAATAATAATAATAATAATAATAATAATAATAATAATAATAATAATAATAATAATAATAATAAATAATAATAATATTAATAATAATAATATTAATAATAATAATAATAATAATAATAATAATAATATTAATAATAATAATAATAATAATAATATAATAATAATAATAATAATAATAATAATAATAATAATAATAATAATAATAATAATAATAATAATAATAATAATAATAATAATCGTCTTTATTATTTTCAAAATACAATATATTATAAAATACATATTTACAATTATACTCGTGAAAATAAAGGGCGAAGTTCATTTTTTCTACTGAAGAGCTCAGTAAGATAAAATGTTCTTCCACTTAACCCAACACGGTTTAAGTGATTTTATGGTTGTTTCACTACGTTTCATGAATCTGTTAACGTGTGATATCTCTTTTTAGCTAAAGACTTTCAAGAGCGCTTCTGACTCCTTCGGGCTCACTTATAAAAGAGCACACGGAAACGCGATTAGCCAGAGCGCAGTGGCGTACTCAAAAATAGATATAAACACGTATGAAAACAATAAAATTATTAAAATTGAATCAATATTTTTATTTATTTTAAAATAATGTGTTTTTATGAAATGTAGCTAGTTGTTCACTGCACAAATTAACCAATGAAGGAACCGCCCCTGATCTAGAATTAGATGATGGAAAATACAGGTTTCTTTAGGACTTCTTTTTAGCCGTACAGTTGAAATAATATCCCATAAGAAAATATAGAGATTTTTAGAAATCTACTAAAATACCTACCTGAAAATGAAATGAAAAATTACACAAAAAATTTTCACTTATTTTTCACTTAGTTTATTTTAAACTGTCATAAATACATTAGATTAGTGTACTGTCCAGGTCCAGAATTATTTAGGGCAATGGTACAGCCAACTTATTCGGTTAACTTGGGTAATTTAAATCTGCAGAAAACAAGTACCTATCAGATATACGGTTTATACCTGAATGAGTGACCAGGAAAGGTAAATCCGATAGTCTCAAGTCCATAAATGTTGGACTAAGTAAAGATGCTTTCATAATATCGGAATATAAAATTAAAAAATTAAAGAAAAAAATTATTACACAATTGTCGTTTTAGTCGAGACTATTAAATTAGTATGTACCGTTTACTCCATATTCTCTATAGTCTAATAATTTTGTTCAATCTATAACATTGAAATAATCCACCCTATTCTGTCCAGTATCGTTGATAAGGTCAGATGAAATATACTATTATTCAAGCTGAACATGAAATTACTTTCTTGTTCCTAAAATATTTAAATACAATCAATATCCCATATCGGAAACATTATATATACCGTATTCCTAACGGAAATAATGTGAAAAAAACGGGAGTTACATAAGTGGATTGTATTGAAATGGTTTCTGAAACATTCAAAATCTCATTACAAAACAGTTGTTGATTAACCCTCTTCGGGTGCATTTATTTTTTTAAGGCTTTGCTGTCAGGCCAAATGTTTCTCAACATGCACATGATGGCTATAACCGATATAATGTATTTCAAATATTTTTTTCTTATTCTTATATTAGTGTTTTTGTACTGAAAATTAAGTTTTTTTTTTTTAATAATAATTATGTTTGTTTTTTAAAATC